GCGTCGGATAAGGATAGGCAACGCATCTGCAATTGCGGATGTCTATGGGCAGCGGTCGCTTAGCCACTTAAAAAAAATACTGAATTTAAACTTAAGATTTTCAAGGGCCGCTTACAACCGGACGGTTGTCAAAATTTCAATTTAGAGTTGAAGTAGATTTTATTTTAAAGACACGGTCACATAATTAAATATCGTTTCAGTGTTCGGCCGCAAGTAGATGATAGATCATTCATTTTGTTAATGAATTTTAGGCTCAGACCAGATCATCGTCCCTACGAGTACTTTAGTTACAAAAGTTAAATATCAGAAACAAATGAAGGTGAAATCTTCATCAACCTTAATGCTTTGGGTTTCAACTTCTCGACTTAAGTATTCTTGAAACTGTAACAACTTTGGGTTGAAGTGAATCGAAAAGCCATTGTTACTGAAAGATTAATGAGAAATTTCGTGTAAACTTTCTTTGACGAATACATTTCACTGAGATTTTAGAAGCCAAGTCTTTATTTCGGCTTATAGCGTTCACTGTAAAACGTAACCACTTCAATTTCTTAAAAATCGCACAAAACATAATCAATACTTATACATATTTGCGTAGATCTTTAGACGTAGAGGTCGCGGGTGTGTAGGTTCTGGACTGGGCCAAACAGAAATCTATAATTTCTATAATAAATAAATATCTTTTATATAATGTTCATTATGAAAGCATTTGATGTGATCTGTGGTGATAAACAAGGGCAGCAGTAGTTAAGCGAATGCAGCCTCTGTGAGTGTACTTAAACTTAATTATTCAGGAGCGGCACGGCGCAAGGAGCGAGCTTCAAGTGAGACCTTTGTTTCGGGAGCTTTCCCGCTTTCACTTACCCTTCCAAATGCCAAAGGTCGCGTCGCCGTTTTTCGAATCGAATAGTCAACTGCTCAGGTATTATTTTATAATTTGTGGTATACAAACTTAAATATATTGTTTATTCTAAATGCTACATAACGATACCAGAAATTTAAGTACGCCATTCTATGATCTACGTGACATACCTTACGTTGTAGTATGTTTGTTAGAGTTTGTAGACAAATCTGCAGAACGGATGTTGATGAAATTTGGCATAGATGTAAAGCATAGTTTGGAAGAACACATGAGCTACTTACTTTATTTTCTTTTTTAATTCCACGCGGACGGAATCATGGGCGAAAGCTAGTATCTCAATAAATTTCCCTTACTTATGGACATTATTAATGTATTTTACAAATATGTTATGAAATCATGTTCGAAATATATGATTTAAAAAAATGTACGAGATTGTCCAAAATTAGGTTTTTTAAGCAGTAATATTCAAACAAAATCCTTAGTGATTTGTCACAAAATCTTCTTTAGAAACAAAGTAAGTACAAGTATCTAACCGCTTGGTATTGTGAATTATCAAAGTTGTACGAGTATATTAAGGTGGAGGAACATTTTGTTCAGTTCTAATTCAACTGCTGTTGAAAATACGACAATTGTTTCCTTTTGTAGATTTTGTGAATAGACCATAACACCGACAAGAAATATCTTTCACCGGTCTTAAAAAAATTCAACATTTGTATAATTATTACTTTTATGTAAGTAAACATAGAATATGTGCTTATTATTAAAGTACTAATGTTTATTATTAAACTGCACACTTGTTTATTACGATTGCACTGCGCTGAAACGTTAATGGTGCTAGCGGTAATAATAAATTAATAGTTCGTTTCTACAGTATATCTTGTTAGGAAACCACAGTTAAACTTTTAAGATAACTGTCATATTGCGAATTTTAATCTACAATCAAGAGCTTCCTGACTAATTGCCGACTCTATATACTGAAGTTAGAATTTAACATGTCAATTTCTTTGTTAGCAGCTTCCGTAAGTAATTGTTACGCAATGGGATGTAGTTTTTTTGGACAACAATAGTCACAAGTGAAGCCACTTCATTGAACAGCAAACTCTTAAGTGGATTAAATGCCCGACAAAAGACCGTTTATTGCGCACAGTCGCCCCAGTTGCGGACACAAACACTTTGTTAGGCGCAATCTTCTATTGTTTGTAGCACAAACAATCTGTTGACCACAGTACAAGCTTGAATATTTACTATATACGACCCGTCAACCAGTAAGAACTCCTTCCAAGATCAAGATAACTTTTCCTCGGTGGAAAATGGAACTAAATTAGATCACGTCGCCCTCTTTATTCTTTTAACGTTAAGTTTTATGTAAATTGGAATCGAGAATTTTGGTTACGGTCTAAGGCAAATGGCCGATAAATCTTTATTGAAAATATTTGACAAATTGAAATTTACTATCTAATTTTAATTTCTGATTTATTTAATTTTATTAGATTCTGCAAACGTATAAGTAAAATATAAGAGTGTAAAACAAAATAAATCTCTAATCGTAGATAATCTTGGTCGCAACACTAAAATTGAACAACCCTATCGCTGTAATCGTGCAGAGGTAATTAATAATCTATACGAGGCGGGGT